AAGCCCTCTTTGACTGCTGGAGTCTAGAGTATGCGTTCCAGGATCAACCCATTGCTGAAATGTAAGATAATCTCCTAACCCCAAATAAACGTTAAGAAAGAAGGCTGGTGGGTTAAAGTGAGGAAGCCTCTGATTTGTGTTAAAAGGAATCCAGGCAGGAGAAATAGATTACAAAACAATTACCATTGCTTTTGTGACGCTGAAGTTCATTCCATTTCTGAGACGACTTCTCTAGTGCAAAAAGTAAATCCTGGCCCAAATTTTGGGCCTCGAGAATAATGGGACCAGGTTTTACAGCAAACAGTAATTCTCCTCTGTGCTTTGGAAGCCTTTGTTTTTTTAATGTTACAATGAGGCGTTGTTTAAAAGCTGTTTATTAAGCCCATAAATAAGATGTCATTTGGTAATTAAGTGCAGTTATATTGCAAATGTGCTCACAATTCCTCTCACTAGAAAACATCAGTGCAATTTGGAGAAAGAGCTAAAAGGCTGGACACCTGAGCTCAGACTCTCTACCCCCGGGACTCACGCTGTGCTGCCTGGAGACATCTAGGAACAGGTGTCTTTTAGTATTGTGATTTTGATGTATGAATCAATTGGGACTTTTGCTTCTAAAGATACTTATAATCATTGATGCTGCTGTTGAATCTGCTGATCAGAGAACCAAGAAGAATCACGTGTGTGTGTGTGTGTGTGTGTGTGTGTGTGTGTGTGTGTGTGCAAGCACATGGCCATACTGATAGTGAAAAGAGTTAATTAAACCCTAAATAGCAGCTTGAGGCTGTGGAGGAATAGATATGATGGGTTTGGGTAAATTTGGGTTATTTTAGGGCATTCAGCACATTACCCTTGACGTGAGTATCTCAACCTGAAGCAATATGTCTAAGCAGGGAGCTATGAATGTCACTTGCAAGGTACCATAAATGAGCGTGTCTGGCCGGGGCTGAGGAGAGGGTCACGTGTGACAGTGGCAGCCCCGAGAAACACTCTGCTGAGAAACACTGTGACAAGCAGCCCTGGTCTTATTGCTCCCAGCTGTTGCCATCTACATACATGAATTCTTGGCCCTCCCATTTCCTAAGCTACCACTTTCTTTCTCCTATGTTTTGTTACCTTTTGTCTCCATTCCAGCGCAGACACCTCCCATGACACAGCTACAGTAATCCCCTTGTAGGAGCTATCAGACAAGCTCCGTAGGACCAACGAAGGTAATTTTAAAGGAAAGATGACCACAGTGTCTTTATGTGCTTCATGGGGTCCTGGTATGGTCTAAAGCATCTGTTTAGTTTGTTTATCTGTTGTTCATACTAACCCTGGAGGTGCATCCGCAGACTACCTGCATTTTACTTGTGGATGGGGGACATTTCTAACCAAGAGCAGGCACAGGACTCCTAGTTTTCCTCCCTATTTGGTAATCTCCACCATGGGAGTAGGAGACATACCTCTCCTCTTTTTCTTTAAAATTTAGGTTTTTTAGATTTCTTTCATGTGTACGTGTGTGCATGTGTGTGTGCATGTGTGCATATGTGTGTGCATGTGTGCGTGTGTGTGTGTGCATGTGTGTGTGTGTGCATGTGTGCGTGTGTGTGTGTGTGTGTGTGTGCATGTGTGCATGTGTGTATGTGTAGGCCAGGGGCCAACACTGGGTGTCTTTATCTACTGTGCTCCATTTTACAATTTGAAACAGGGTTTTTCCCTCCACCTGGCTGACTGGACAGTGAGCTCAGAGGATCTGCCTGTCCCCCGTCCCCCGTTCCTGTCCCCTGCCCAGTACAGCCACACCTAGCTGTGTGAGTGGGTGCAGGGGATCTGAACTCAGGTCCTCACGCTTATGCAGCCAGCCCTTTGCCCACCCCGTCTCTCCAGGCCCTAGGGAAACGTCTTCGATAGGCTCCTTTGGGTGTACAGCGACTTGTCTTCACGCCAGGACAACACGAGTGGACCACAAGCGTACATCGCTGCTTCCGTCTGTGCTCTTTGGTCTGCACTGGACGTTGTTCCCGTGTCTCCAAAAAGATAGGCCGATCCTGAGGAGTTCGGGGACAGGTCAATTGAGCAGGTGCTCCAGGGGAAACTGAGGAAGGTTGATGACATTAGAGGAAGGTGGGAGCAGCAGAGAAAGGGTTGGTGCAATAACCCATAACCGTTACCAACCAACACAGCCTCACAATCGTCATTTCCAGGTGACATTGCAGAGAAATGTTGGTCAGTTGACAAGTTGGTGGAAGAGCTTCCTGTCTTTACCTTTCCTTACCTCAGCTCACGACAGGGTCGGCTGTTCCCTGGGGCAAGTCAGGCAGATGTCCCAGGGAAGTTCACGGCACACACCCAGTGCACAGAAATGTGATTTTCGTGAAACTGACATCAGACTTAAGGAACGGATGAACCCATGCTCTCGCAAGTCCTGCTACTGTAAAAGATCCATTTCCGTTCTGTTTGCGATGTGCAGAGACACGGGTGTGCTGCTGAATGACGCCTCTAATTGCTGCTTTCTCTAATAACAAAATGCTGCTATGAATAGCTAGAGATTAAGCAGCTCAGATGATTCGTACACCCAGTGCTTGTTACCCTCATCTTCACCAAAAGACAGACACAGCTCCTAAGATTTTATTACCTGTTACGCAGACTCCTGAAAACCGAGAGTGTGTCTCCTCCCTAGGCTCTCCAGAGTCCCTGTCACTCGCAGCCCCTCACACCCTCACTTGTTACTGGGAGGGTGATGGAAGGTGATGGCGGACTCCACTCCTACACGAGGAGATTCAGGTCCGTGCCATGGAAACGAGACGATGCTGCTGACATGTCGTGTCGCCAAATTTAATTATTTCTGCTAATTTTTATCTCTCGCACTGTTCTTCGATGTGGCCACATTCCTAGCATAGCTGTGGGGCTGAATGTTGGGCCGAAATAAGACCTGTGAGTGGGGCTCTGATGGGCTTGCTTTTAAGGCAAAAAGAGATTGACACTGTATTAAATTACATAATAATAGAAAAATAAAACAAAAGATAAAAGGACAGCAACACTGGGCCATGGTTAGGGCTGGGTTGCAGAGCGCCGTCTTGCAACTTACCCACTAACTACCTGTTGTTCTTTTTTTTAAAAAAAAAACAAACCTTCCTCTGAGTTATATTAAGTGTGATGTTCTTTAACGGCTCCTACCTGAGACATGGGTGCTATGGCCGGACCCTGGCTGGAAGAAGGAGGACCCTTAGAGGCACTTCAGCCATTCCAGTGGCAAGGGAACACCTCAGGCCACCACCCGGGAAGCATTCTTTGAAGCTCAGTTACCCCTGAGTCAGAGACCACTTGCCATGCAAAGGAGAAGGCCCCTTTGTCCCCATCTCCAGCTCTGCAGCCATCTGTTGGGGTTCTTCCAGGAACACTGGCGTCTGCTCTGATGGTAGCCCTTCATGTCCCAGTGCCTTAGACTTGACATTCAGGCCTTGTCCTTGTCCCTCATTCCTGTGTCTGAGCCGGTCGGGACAGTTGCACTCTGAAGCTGACGTGGGGGATTTTTATGCCTATGCCTTAGAGTGGTTACTTGACCAAGTTCTTCCAGGCACTTCCGTTTTTCTCCCAACCATTAGGGGAGCAGCTGGGATGGACAAAGGGAGAACCACTTCTGCCTTCTCTCTCTTTGAGGTTCATGTGCCTGTGGCTAGGGCTCTGCCTAGGTGGGAATGATCAAGCTAGGATTGTCAGCTTCGGCGGTGTTGCGGCAGGAGAGTCAGTGGACAGACAAGGGGATAACCGTGGAGACAACGGACGTGGGTTGGGTGCCAGGTGACAAAGTGAGGTCTAGTCTGAGACAGACACTTGAGAGTCCCTTTCCTGTCTGAGCATCAGCTTGTGGGGACAGGACATCCAGCAAAGTGGAGCTGACTGCCCCCTGTGTACAGAGTCATCACAGAGAGAGAGGTTCCAGCCTGGGGGTCAGAAGACGGGAAGAGCTCACAGGGACAGTCTAGGGGTAGTAGGCAGCCCACCATGGTCAGAGTGCATGCTTCTCAGTTCATGCGAGAAAGAGCCTGGGACAAAGAGCAGTGAGGAAAACCTGTAGGAAGGAGGCTTTGCATGGTTCAGGAAGACAGTCTGGGAGGTGGAGTGTAGAGGTGTCCAGTGGTCCCCAGCTGTGTCCCTCATGGAGCAGAATCCAGGGGAAGAACCGAGGCCTGAATCTGGCCTCTCTATCTGTGACCCTAAACTGTAGAGAGTTAGGGCTGAGAAACCTGCCTCCACAGCTTATCTTTCTGGTAGCATGTGGCATTAAACAATTATTTCATGATTAATTTATTAGTTCTAATACATTACTTCACCAGGCAGTGTTACTAATTAAACATCAGATGTTAGTTTTTAAATGTTTTAAGCTAACCCAAAATGTTCCGATATAATTGATCTACAGCTATATTGTGTGCGTGTGTGTGTATGTGTATCTAAGTGTTGTATGGGTGCTTGTTCATATGTGAATATGAGTACACATATATATAAGGATATGTACCCAGGTATGCACATGTGTGTAGTTGTCCAATGACAGCATCAGGCGTGGTTCCTCAGGTGCCTTCCGCCATTTCTTTTTTGAGAAGTATCCCTCACCAGAACTGCTTGACCCTACATTTCCAAAGTTAGGGTTACAAGCACATGCCACAGTGCCCTGTTTTTGATATGAATATTAGGGTTTGAACACGCAGGTTCTTACACACGCGAAACAGTTCACTGAATGAGCTATCTTCTCAACCTGTGGTTTTTTAAGGTCTCATAGTCTGCCTGTTGAGAGCCCCCATGCATCTACCAGATGTTAGGTACCTATTACTATGAGTGTTCATATAGAGAGACCAAAGTTTCTGCTCCTTAGCAACCCCTAATCCTGAGGAGTTGCCACAGTCCAAACATGCGACTGTTGACTTGGTTCAGGAGCTGGCTACTAGGAAATCGACTGCTGTACCTCTGTTGCACCCCAGTGCTCCCAGACTTGCACTAAATCTCATCTCTGCTCTGTCCAACAGACCAACAATACTCATGGTCTCCAACGACGCAGCACTTCAATGAGGAGAGGTATTCGCCCGCACCCAGGAACATGAAAGGGTTAACTGGAAGCCGGACCCAGCCTCAGCTGTGTGCGGGCCATACCTGCGGCCTGTCACCCCCTGAGGACTGCGAGCACCCCCACGACCACCTGCACCACGGGCCGGATGTGCGGCAGCCCTACCTTCTCAGCCCGACCGAGAGCTGCCCCATGGACCACCACCGCTGTTCACCCAGGAGCTCCGTCCACTCCGAGTGTATGATGATGCCTGTAATGTTGGGCGACCACGTGTCCAGCAGCACCTTTCCCAGGATGCACTACAGCTCACATTACGACACAAGGGACGACTGCGCCGTGACTCACACGAATACCAAGGTAAATCGCATCCCCGCCAACCTTCTGGACCAGTTTGAGAAACAGCTCCCCCTGCACCGGGATGGTTTCCACACGCTGCAGTACCAGAGGGCCTCCGCTGCCACCGAGCAGCGGAATGAGAGCCCGGGCCGAATCCGGCATCTGGTCCACTCCGTTCAGAAACTCTTTACCAAGTCTCATTCTTTGGAGGGATCATCCAAGAGCAACATCAATGGGACCAAGAGTGACAGTCGGGTGGATGACCACCACCACAGCCACCATTCCAAACACAGCAAAAGGAGTAAAAGCAAGGAGCGGAAGCCGGAGGGCAAGCACAAGTCTGGTATGAGCAGCTGGTGGAGTTCTGACGATAACCTGGACAGTGACAGCACATACCGGACACCCAGCGTGGCCAACCGCCACCACATGGACCACATCTCCCACTGCTACCCCGAGGCACTGCAGAGCCCCTTTGGGGACCTCTCACTAAAGACTTCCAAAAGCAACAGTGATGTTAAGTGCTCAGCCTGCGAAGGCTTGGCCCTGACGCCGGACACCAGGTACATGAAGCGTAGTTCTTGGTCCACCCTCACGGTGAGCCAGGCCAAGGAGGCCTACCGCAAGAGCTCCCTGAACTTGGACAAGCCCCTGGTCCACCCAGAGATCAAGCCTTCCCTGCGGCCGTGCCACTACCTCCAGGTAAGGCTCAGGTGACTGTGACCTCATGCAGAAGGTTTTAGCCACTATTGGCATTTGCTGTCGACAGAAAGCCTTGTATCAATGCATAGGGTACAACGTGAAGTCTGAAGGTGTGCTTGCCTTTTAGGGTTTCAAAGCAAGCCAGTGTGCTTGCTTTACCTACCTCTGGGTTGTAGCTAGAGCTCTCCAAGCCCAGAGACCGACGGCAGACCTGGTGCTCCCCTTGAGAATTGTGTTGCTGAGACATAAGGTCGCTACATCTTATTTGTGTGGTACAGTCAGTTGGTATGCGTGCTGCAGGCATTGCGATCCTCAATGTCAGTCACTTTTGTGGGAACTATACGACTTCCTCTCCCCATCCCCGCACAGCTGTTCGGTATTAGAAATTATTGCAACCCGGAATCACCCTGCTATAATTCTTGGTTGTTTTTAGAGACTAAATCTCACATTGTAATATAGACTGACCTTTCACTCAGTATGCAAATAAAACTGGCTTTGAACTCTCAGCCATCCTCCTGCCTCAGGCTGGTTGGGGTTATGAGTGTGTTCCACCATGTCTGGCTTAACCTGCCGTGACTTTTAAAGTTTTTGTTATTAGCATATATTAATTATACAGAATAATGGGCCTCATGACATTCTCCTACATGTAATAATTTGATAATCCTTTCATCACGTTCACCCCCATTCTCTTGTTGATAGTCTTGTAATTCCTGAATATATAATGCAAGGCTAAGTGTAGGCACCATGCTCTACAATCCATCTCTTAGATGAACTCTTCTGATGTAACTGAAATCAGACATCTTTCTACAATCCCCCAGCCCCTGCCCCAGCCCTGATAACCACCCTTGCACTCTGCTTCTGTAACCCAGCTCTCGAGCTTCCATGTGGGGAGCCTGTGTGATGTGAAGTTTGTGTTTTTGAGTCTCGTTTGTTTCACTAAGTGCACCATACCCCAGGCTTGTCCCTGTTGTAAAGGGAAGTGACTCCCCCTCCCTCCCTCGGGGCTGAACAGCATCCTGTGCTGTGTGTGTATCCCTTCCCCGAGCCACTCTCTCCCTGGTGCCCATCAAGTTGACTTCCTACGTTGTCTTCTGTGAACAGGGCCACAGTGTGATTGACAGGAAATGGTTGTGGGTTGCATCTGGGGCTGTCCCTTGAAACCTCATTCCAGTGTAGCAATCCATCCCTTGGTGCCTGGGACTTAGCAAAATAACACAAATATCCCGAACACGTAGAAGATTGTGTCCATAGGTCTGCCTTTGCGTGAGATCTGGTCTAAGCCATGTGGCATGTGCTGATGGCAGGAAGTTGTGTCTATGGTAGGGTTACCTGTCCTCAATGGCGTGGATGAGATGGATTCAGCAAAGGATCTTACAGACAGTGCTGGCGGGATCCTGAGCCCTGCTCCGTGCTGCATTTGATATAGTTGCCCTCTCTGTCTCCTGATGGCTCGTTCACCAAGAATGACAGGGAAGGCCTGAGTCTCCAAAGACACCACCACTCCCAAGAAAGCCTCTCTAGCTCCTGCCAGCCGGTGGCACCATTAGCACAACCTCAGCCTCAGCACTTAAGGTTTCCTCAAAGATCTATGTATTCGATTCACAGGTCTCGAATCCTACCCTCTAAGAACTAAAGCTTGGGCTGTCCGTGTGCTGGCTTAGAGACACTCGCCAAGATACTGAGTAATGGCGCTAAACGCCGGCTGAGTCATCAAGTGGCCAATTAACGAAACAGATGAACAACCCACTGTGAATCCTGGGAGTCAGGTGGTGGAGGCTTCCAGCAGCGCCACCTCCTCCTGGTACATCGTCCAAGGCTCACGGGTTCTGTTTTGAAAGGAGATGCTAACCAAATTGCTTGTATAGACAGATTTATTCAAAGAGACAAATTGGTAGTTAGATAAAGTATTATTTTTATAGCAGTGGAAAAGGGCTTAAATTTCGCTTGTCGTTGGCAAACCTTAATGATATCCAAATGTAAAATGTTCTCTCTGCTTATCTAAAGGAACACAGTGAGTGAAATCGGGGCCCACTCTGGTTCTATCCCTCTTGGAAAAGCGGAAAAACTGGTCTGCTTTTTTCCCCCTTTGTGTCTAGGAACTCTCTGCAGTGTTCCCTGAACACGAGGCAGTGACGAAACTGTGGTGTTTCACCTCACTCCCGTCCTGAGCTCTCAGCCCTGCACTTCACCCTCACCCCTTTTCACCCCCACATCCCCTGCTTTCTCCACACCGTACCCTTCCCCTACCAGGTGAGGTGGAAAGGAGCCCTGCAGACGATGTCATTGAAACCAATGACTCCACAATCTGTCTCTGAGAAATCCAGGCTGCAGGGCTGAGAAGACCGCTCCTTGGGCAAAGCACTTGCCGCAGAAATCTGCGGACCAGAGTTTGGATCTCCAGCACCCATGTCAATGCCAGATGAGCATGGCAGACTGCTAGTGATCCAGGCATCCAGAAGACAGGGACCAGGGGTCCCCAAAGTCAGCAGGCTAGCCGGACTAGTCAAAAGACCAAGTTCTGGGTTCGGTAGGGAGCCGCTCTCCAATGCACTACCATCGAATTCTGGCCTCCTCATGCATGTGCACACATGTGTAAGCACACACACACACACACACACACACACACGAAGACACTCACAATCATGTGTGTATTCATAACAAAGATGCACACACACACACACACACACACACGAAGACACTCACAATCGTGTGTATTCATAACAAAGATGCACACTGAAAGATACAGGCTCCCGCTTAGGTAAAACATCTATAATGTGCGACCAGGCATTGAAAAGCTATCAGACACCAGTCGTTCTTCCGTTCTTCCCAAGGGCTCACTTCTCTCCAGTGAGCCACATCACAGGCCGCTGTCCTGTGCCGGATCTGTCGTTCACACCTTGTAATCTGCACAGTGCCCCCTGCCTCTCTCTCTTCTCTCCTTCAGCCTTGGGCTTCTGTTTAAATTCCTTAGTTTGGGAACCACTCCTTCCGGTCAGGCCCCGCAGTCTGGGTGTCATGCCAGATGTTTCTCTGGCCTCGAGCTGCCAAAGGCCTGGAAGCTAGCCAGCAGCTGCCTCGATGGCTTCTCACCGTTCATGTGTGTTGATTGCTCCGTATTGTAATCAGCCATGTTTCAGCCGGCCTCTCCAAGCCTCAAGCCTCCCTGTCAGTCCCTCCTCCATCTCCCCTGGATCTCCCTACTCCTTTGCCTATAGCTGTAGGTGGATGCTGCTTGTTCATTCCTAGCTGCCCGGACCTGAAATAATCACACAGAAACTGTATTAATTAAAACCCTGCTCAGTCTATTAGCTCAGGATTCTTATTAACTAGCTCTTACATCTTAAATTAACCCATTTTTATTATTTTGTATTTTACCACGAGGTTTGTGGTTTATCTGTAAGGTCCCAGTCGGCGCAACTCTGTCTTTCTCCTTCAGCAGCTACATGGCATCTCTTTGACTCCGCCTACTCTCTCTCTCTCTCTCTCTCTCTCTCTCTCTCTCTCTCTCTCTCCATCTCTGCTCAGATTTTCTGCCTGGCTTTACTCTGTTAATCCATTGGCCGAAGGCAGCTTTTTTTATTAACCAATGGCAATAAAACATATTCACAACATACAGAGAGGAATCCCACATCCTATAGCTAGACACCAATTGGGAGAGTTGGCCAAACAGTCAGTGGCAGGTCCAGCTATTATCTTACCAAAATGTAGTTTGCCAATGTGAACATTTCACAGTAGCATGCAAAAGCCAAATAGCCTGGCACGGTGGGGTGAAGAGATGAGATGCCATGGAAGGCAGCCGCAAAGTAAAGTTCCTCTAGTGCCACATAAAACTACAGCAGGACACAGCTGAAAGAGAGGATGACGGTCGTGGAACCCTACCTAGAAAGTCCAAACCACCTCATATCCTCCATCAACCTCCATCCGTCCCTTATGGCTAATAGTGGCCTTGACTGGACCTCCTAAGCATGGCACCTGAAGGGGACACAGACCTGTCTCCTCCCAGTGTTCATGTGGACAACCATGGTCTCAATAGTAAACCTGTAGGGGGCGAGATTTGAGGACCCTGGAAGGAAATTGTGGCTTCCACCGGGAGCCCCATCCTACCCCCAAATACCTCATCTTCTGAGAGTCTTCCCTCACACGCCATTCTCCGTCCATTTTCACCTCTGAACAAAATCCTTCTTCTCTTCCCGGCCGTCCTCTATCTGTCTCACCATATTGCTTGTGGGAAGATTTATGAAATACACACATCTCCTCAGGCAGCGTTTGTCCCCAGACCCAGCTGAATGGATGTCTGGGTGCATTCAAAGGTATCCTCACAGGGCTGTCCTTCATGCTGGTGGCACTAAACTTAGCTGTGGAAAGATCCCCAGTCTGGGCCTCACAAGCCCAGACTTCATTTCACAGCCAGCAATAGGAATTAAGGAAAAATTAAAGGAATGTGCCCACGGTGCTTTGTAAGGACATCGTCTAAGAGATCCAGAAGTCTGTGCCCAGGGGCAGTGTTCTTTCTTTTTTATTTTTCATCCAAAACTAGAAATTTGCGGTTGAATAAAAGGACACCTTTCCGTCTCCACCTTTGGCTGTTACGGAAAACATAGTTAACATTCAAGGAAGAGTTGTTTGTAAGTAGGTCAAAACACAGTCAATAGAACTGGCGGGGAATCCTGGCCCGAGTTCGTCTCTGAAAAGGTTTTTGTTCTTTCATTTTCTGCCTCAGCAGACAAACTGTCTTAAGGCCAAACTTGGAATAATATGGCAGGAGCGTGGGCCATGATCCACTGCATCCCGCTCAGGGGCCAAGCGGTTCTCTGTGTTCTGAGGAGGAGACGCTAGCCTTGGAGGGTACCTGGTACCAGCCAAGGAGGTCACAATTGCTCTGCCCCCTGAAAAATGTTTTCTTCCCTCAACCGTTATGAGCAACAAACCCCTGCATCTACCATGCCTCCATCACCTCCCTCTTTGACCTCCGTATCCTCTCTGACTTGGCTGTCTCCCCA